TTGATCGTTCGCTACTTTGAAGCCACCCAATCGGTAGCCGATACTGATCGTTAGGAGCCTTGGGCAGTTAGAGAGTTTCACTAATCCACGTGTCATTGAATGAGTGGAGGGTCAGATATGGTACAAACATGATGGTTTTCATGTTTTGTTTTATTTTATTTGCATTGAATCTAAAAATAATAATTCATTGATTTACAAGTAAAGTATTTATTCAATTTACTTCAGTCTTCGTGGGAATGACTTCGTATTTACCTTTGCTATACTCTCGTTCTATTGCGAGTATATATAGGGTTTTAACCTCTGTTTTGTGGATGGCTAAAATCCTATCAGAGTGCCTATGAATGAGGGTACATAAGGGATGGTAAAACACATTTCTTTCTTTGCATGAGATGAATTCCTTATATAAAAGCATGCAAAATGTGTCCATCTTTGTACCAGTGTTGCCTGGAACTAATTTAACCTTCTTTGTTTTACCACTCATTCATGTCACACTCCTTTTTTTTTTGTTGAATATGTTGTTTAACTACCTATCATTCCTTCTTTTATGTATGAGTTGAAGAAAGAATAAATTGTGGAAATAAATTTTCAAAAAGACAAACGCTCTCTGACTTTATATTTTTGAACTTTGAATTCATCTGCTTTAATACTTTGGGAAGGCAATGATTCAAAATTAGTGCACTTAGTAGCCAAGTTACTTGCTTTAGGTAACAAAGCATCGACACATGACAACACCTGATGGGCATGTCGTCAAAGTTTCCAACGAGTGTCAGTATCTTGTAGCGCCACATGTCATTAATGTTTTATTTTTGTGTCTATCTTAAAAAAATCACAAAAAATCATTAAAAAATAGAAAAATATACCAAAAATTCCTACAAATTCCTTGCGACATTATCTTCGACTACAATGCTTGAAATTGGCTTTGGACAAGTTGAAGTAATAATTGGAGAAAGAGTTGTGGTGAGGAAGACTTATGATCTTAGCTTCGTGTTATTGTTAGTATATAAGCAAATTTGAGTTTGAGAAATTATTTGAATTTCTCTCTTAGTAAAAATTATATTTTTAATCTCGTGTCATTAATGTTTTATTTTTGTGTCTATCTTAAAAAAATCACAAAAAATCATTAAAAAAATAGAAAAATATACCAAAAATTCCTACAAATTCCTTGCGATATTATCTTCGACTACAATGCTTGAAATTGGCTTTGGACAAGTTGAAGTAATAATTGGAGAAAGAGTTGTAGTGAGGAAGACTTATGATCTTAGCTTCGTGTTATTGTTAGTATATAAGCAAATTTGAGTTTGAGAAATTATTTGAATTTTTCTCTTAGTAAAAATTATATTTTAAATCTCAAAAGATGTAGAAAATGTCGCAAGAAATCGGGGGTATTTTTTGGTGAATTTTTCAGAGATGTTATGAATTGATTATGATTTTTTGGTGAATTTTTCCACTGAGTAAAAGCAGGATTGCGAGTAAGAGTGTTACCTGTTTAAGAAACAAACTGAGGTGGTCATGGTTCAGTCCCATCAATGATGCCTAACATATCATAGTTTTGTAGCACAGGAAGGAAGAGATTTTTCCATAAGAGAAAGGAATAATAATAAAAAATCTATATTTGAACAGAACAGAAGGCTTGAAACCCTAATTAAAATCTGAATAAAAAAAAAGGAAATTAAAATCGGAATACAACCATTAAGGACTGCTTATGTAGGAAGCACACTAGTACTTATGCTTATAAGCCCTTTTCTAAAAGTGCTTTTATTAGAATAATGTCCAAAAAAAACTTATATTAAAAGTGCTTTTTAGCCTTTCCAGCTTTAAACATGCCCTGCATTAATGTTTTATTTTTGTGTCTATCTTAAAAAATTCACAAACAATCATTAAAAAAATTAGAAAAATACACCGAAAATTTCTTCAAATTCCTTGCGACATTATCTTCACCAATGCGTGAAAATCCAAACTTAGCTTTGGACAAGTTGAAGTAATAATTGGAGAAAGAGTTGTGGTGAGGAAGACTTATGATCTTAGCTTAGTGTTATTGTTAGTATATAAGCAAATTTGAGTTTGAGAAATTATTTGAATTTCTCTCTTAGTAAAAATTATATTTTTAATCTCAAAAGATGTAGAAAATGTCGCAAGAAATCGGGGGTATTTTTTGGTGAATTTTTCAGAGATGTTATGAATTGATTATGATTTTTTGGTGAATTTTTCCACTGAGTAAAAGCAGGATTGCGAGTAAGAGTGTTACCTGTTTAAGAAACAAACTGAGGTGGTCATGGTTCAGTCCCATCAATGATGCCTAACATATCATAGTTTTGTAGCACAGGAAGGAAGAGATTTTTCCATAAGAGAAAGGAATAATAATAAAAAATCTATATTTGAACAGAACAGAAGGCTTGAAACCCTAATTAAAATCTGAATAAAAAAAAAGGAAATTAAAATCGGAATACAACCATTAAGGACTGCTTATGTAGGAAGCACACTAGTACTTATGCTTATAAGCCCTTTTCTAAAAGTGCTTTTATTAGAATAATGTCCAAAAAAAACTTATATTAAAAGTGCTTTTTAGCCTTTCCAGCTTTAAACATGCCCTAATTATCGGATTATTGATCTCTTTCTTCTCTAGCATAACCAATCTCTGAACTATTATCCAACTTGATACCCAATGAATCCATCTTACGCTCCACCCTCTTTTTGATACCTTCTACGTAAGCCTTATATTTCTTTAGTTCATCCACTCCGGCGTGCTTGTTAGGCTTATGCTTATCCAACAAGACCTGGAGCTTTTCCACATCTATATCATCTTCCTCCTGATTGCCTTCATGATCATCATCTTCATCATCATCATCATCATCATCATCATCATCATCCTCCTCCTCCTCCTCGTCCTCATCCCCCTCGTCTTCCTCCTCGTCCTTCTCCTCCTCCTCAAGATCAAGGGTACAAGAATCTTGTTCGCTAAGAAAGCGATCTAAGACAGAGTCCACGGAGGGGTTACCAAAGACATAGGGCTTGTTTTCCGAGGAAAGGACGATTACAACCATCTCGGAACCAGACGAGGAGCTAACGTTAGCGGCTTCACGAAACAAACCCTTGCGGCGCTTTGAAAAGGTGGCCTTCATGTTCATCTTCCTGCGTCCCATGAATGTGGTTTAGTTTTTATATATATATGAAACGTGTCTTCTTGATCTCACTAAATCACCGAACCAAATAGTTGAGTTGAGTTGAGTTGTGAGTTGTTGTCCCCAAGGGAAGAACAAGGTATACGTATATATATATACAAGTAGGACGGCTGCTAGGTTGCCCAATGCCCATGAATCCAAAGTTTTCCTATTTTTTCCTTTGGGTGCCTTCTAAGTCAAACAAAATGTAGGATTGTGGTAAGTTTTCATTTTATAATTTGTGGATGTATAAAAGTGATTTAAAATAATAACTAAAGATGGCTTTCTTCTGCACGCGTTTTTGTTATAACTGGAAACAATAATTATCTTAAAACTTTGTTTCCCCCTCTCAAATAATGGAAAACGGGTAACAACAACCTGGGAGATGGCTCCTCCCAACCCAAGACCTTCTCTCTTTCCCTTTCCCTCTCTCTCTCTCTCTCTCTCTCTCTCTCTCTCTCAACCAATTTATGATGCTTACTGCTCCCATCTTCCTCTTTGGGAAGGAAGTTTCGATTGTTTTGGTTATAATCAGTTTATTACTTCTCCTATATAAATCGATCAGGTGGATTGCTATTATGTTGGAATGATGCTTCTCTTCATGTACGTTATATTATTACACAAATGTGTGATCCTAAAACCTCTCTATTGGCTTTAGCAATACCTTACCCACAAAGACATGTCCAAAATTATGTTTGATCCAACTTCCTTGTCATTTGCCAATCTTAATGATTGCAGATTTTAATAATGTTTAAAACACTACTGAACGTTTAGGAGGATCCTCTACTTTACATTGCTTTTCTCTTTGGTTCTAAAATTTGTGACCCTAAGGGCCCGTTTGGGAGTGCTTTTGGAGTAGCGAAAAGCATTTTTGGATGTGTAAAAGTGCTTTTGTCTTTTTAAAATGGTGTTTGACAAAAATTACAAAAGAAGCCTTATATTTCTTTAGTTCATCCACTCCGGCGTGCTTGTTAGGCTTATGCTTATCCAACAAGACCTGGAGCTTTTCCACATCTATATCATCTTCCTCCTGATTGCCTTCATGATCATCATCTTCATCATCATCATCATCATCATCATCATCATCATCCTCCTCCTCCTCCTCGTCCTCATCCCCCTCGTCTTCCTCCTCGTCCTTCTCCTCCTCCTCAAGATCAAGGGTACAAGAATCTTGTTCGCTAAGAAAGCGATCTAAGACAGAGTCCAACACTTTGGGTGAGATTCAAAAGCACTTGGGGTGGCATTGGAAGAAGCACTTGAGAGGTGCTTCTTCTTAAAAGCGCTACACGACAAAAACACGAGAAGCACTTGGCTCCTTTTAATGAAACTTTTAAAATGCCGAGAGTACCCCTATTTCCTAATTCCTTTATGAAAGTTCTACTTATTAATAATTCTAATTTAGGTTATAGTCCAATTTATATTTAACTTTGATAATTGTACTCCTCAGTCCAAAACTCCATTCCGTTTTCAAGAGTATTGGTTTATTGATGCTAATTTTCAGCATGAAATTGATTTAGCTATTAAAGATATTGGCGCACTTAAAAGTTCGAGGACCTGATGGTTTTCATGTTATGTTTTTTTCAGAAATACTATAACCTTTTTAAAATTAACTGAGCTTATTATTATTTCTTTTCCTCTTAGAAGAAATCCGAATTACTTCTATAAAATAATATTGAGAAGAGAAATACGATTAGAATAAGGGCACCAATATAGAGCCATGAGAAAACATATTTGGTTATAGCTTTCTCTGGTTCTTGGAGTTTGTCTTACACTGTCCTGCGAGTCAGCCCAAATTGACCAAAGTAAAACAGCTGCGAAACAAAAAACAAAAAAACCCGAAGCCGGCTTGCAGCTTTTGTATATGAACCGAAAAAGGAAAAACCAATAAAGCCCCACACGCATCCAACTCTCTATATCTAACTTATTTTTCGGCTATTTTTTATTATAGAAAACCAGCAGCCCAATTTGACCACGGTAAATGGATAAAATGGTAAAACGACAACCTATCCAGATTCAACGTACCATCCAACTGGTATCCAACTTTGGTTTCGCCATATGCTTCTCAGATTAACTCCACGCGCCCCACTCCTCCGCCCTCAGCGCGTAACAGTTGTGCACAGTCTTCGAAACAGAATCGTTCCCGCGGCAGGCACGTGACATTGCAACGTCAGGGCGTACGACAAAATTAAAAAAACATAAAAATAAAACACTATAAAACTTTAAAGGACGAAATGAAAAAATAAAATATAAAAAAGAAAAAGCCTCTCTCTTTTCTCTCTCCCTTCTCTTTTTGCTTCCACCCGCTTACCCTTCACCACTCAATCCCCACTTCCGCAACTCTCTTCTGCGGCTTCTCTCTCTTCAACCTCGTGAAAACGCTGTCGTTTTGATTGGTATGACGACGACGACGCCGTTCGGAGCTGCGAACACGGCGGTGCTGGGGGAGCCCAAGGCTCAGATTGCTAGGTATCAAGGGCTGAGGTCAGCAAACTCGCTTGGTCTCACCAGAAGCCGACACGCGCCGATCTCGTCAGCTTCTTCTTCGCTCATTCGCGCCGTCGCTACGGTGCGTTTAATTACTATCTGATTCTCTGTTTTGTTTCGGAGAGATTGGTATTTGTTTGGATGCTCAGAAAATGCGAGAAAATGAAAAGTAAAAGAAAGATGATAAAATTAACCTTCTTTTATGTGTTATGGTGAGAGATTGAGACAAATGTGGCAAAATGTAAGCACTTTGTTTTAATTGTTTTGCTGATTGTCTCTCATTTATGTTGCTTTCTTCTGTTTGGATTATGATGAAGGAAAACGTGGCTGTGATAAACGAGTATAGACTGCAATTTTACTTTTGTTAATATCTGCCAGAGTCACTGTGAAAGAAGTTGGTTTCTCTTTTTTTTTTTTTTTTTTTTTTCCTTTCTCAGTGATCAAACATGTGTTTATTACTTATTTAACAAAATTAGAAGAATTAAAGTATTTTCTTTTTTGCTTATTTTTCAATTAATATTTTATTATGTGTAACAGAGGAAATGGGTCCAGTTTTTTTGCTTCCTGCTTTTATGCCTGTCATATGCTTTTGTGATAAAGGATTATTTGCCTCTTCAAATGAATTAGCTCATAAAAACCTGAATTTTTTTGTTGCCCCCTGTGGTTTCAAATGTGATGTGAAGTTCCTGACATCCTCGTGAAAGGGCTATTGTGCTTTATTGAGTTTTATCACTTGGTTTTGTTAGGAAACCTACAATTTTGGAAAATTTAGGCTCCTAGAGGGCCTCATGAATCAGAAAATTCTGAATGTTAGTTAGATTGCCTATTGTTAGTTCTTGGTAGGAAAAGTGCTTGTTTTAATAGTTTCTGTGTATTGCAGCCTGCAAAGCCTGAAACTGTAACTGAAACGAAGCGAAGTAAGGTTGAAATATTCAAAGAACAGAGCAATTACATAAGATACCCTCTTAACGAGGAGATTTTGACTGATGCCCCGAATATAAATGAGGCTGCTACACAACTCATCAAGTTCCATGGGAGCTATCAACAATACAACCGAGATGAACGTGGTGGAAGGTCCTACTCATTTATGCTTCGTACAAAGAACCCTTGTGGAAAAGTGTCAAACCAACTATACTTGACCATGGATGATCTTGCCGATCAGTTTGGAATCGGTACCCTTCGTTTGACCACAAGACAAACGTTTCAGCTCCATGGTGTTCTGAAAAAGGACCTTAAGACTGTAATGAGTAGCATCATTAATAGCATGGGTTCAACCCTTGGTGCCTGTGGTGATCTTAACAGAAATGTTCTTGCTCCTCCTGCTCCAATACAAAGAAAAGATTACCTTTTTGCACAGCAGACTGCAGAGAACATTGCAGCACTGCTGACTCCTCAGTCTGGTTTTTACTATGACGTATGGGTGGATGGAGAGAAGTTCTTGACAGCAGAACCTCCTGAAGTAACAAAGGCCCGCAATGATAATTCTCATGGAACAAACTTCACTGATTCACCCGAGCCCATTTATGGAACTCAGTTCTTACCCAGAAAGTTTAAAATTGCAGTTACAGTGCCAACAGACAACTCAGTGGATATTCTCACAAATGATATCGGTGTTGTGGTTGTTACTAATGATGAGGGGGAGCCTCAAGGGTTCAACCTATATGTGAGATGAAGTTCTTCTCTAACATTTACATTTGAGCTCATTTTCTCCACAAATATGGTTTCTTATAATTTGCATTGCAGGTTGGTGGTGGTATGGGAAGAACGCATAGGTTGGAAACCACTTTCCCCCGTTTGGCTGAACCACTGGGCTATGTCCCCAAAGAGGATATCCTATATGCAATTAAGGCAATAGTTGTTACACAAAGAGAAAATGGGAGAAGAGATGATCGAAAGTATAGTAGAATGAAATATTTGATCAGCTCGTGGGGCATTGAAAAGTTCAGAAGTGTAGTTGAACAATATTATGGAAAGAAATTTGAGCAATTCCGCGAGTTGCCAGAGTGGGAATTCAAAAGTCACTTGGGGTGGAACAAGCAGGTTTGTTGTGGTGATTTTGACGTACAATTTTTGATGTTTTTTATTCTGTCTCCAAGGTTTGAAATTGCAATATCTTGAGAGTCTTATGTATGGCCTATTTGATTTATAACTCTAGTAGATCATACTGTTTACACTGATGCCTAGTTTATTGGCTCCATTCCCATCTTCCAGTACCTTTCTCCCCAGATGTATGTCCTGACTATTTATATTTGTTTTGGTAGGGTGATGGCAGTTATTATTGTGGGCTTCATGTCGATAATGGTCGTATTGGTGGAGTTATGAAGAAGGCATTGAGAGAGGTTATAGAAAAGTATAATTTGAGCATAAGGCTCACACCAAACCAGAACATCATATTGTGTGATATTCGCACTGCATGGAAACGTCCCATCACCACAATCCTTGCAAAGGCCGGTCTGCTGGTAAGATGTTTTTCTTTTACTCCCTCATCATCAAACATC